ATATTGAAAGTATTTGTTTGTTTCGTCTACAAAAAACTGCCAAAGAGATTTATTATTTGTAAAATTGGTTGATTCAAAAAATTTATCAAAATACTTCACTGGTTCATGACAGTTCTCTGGATTCCACACAGGACCGGACTCGGCTGTAAAATCATGTAAGATTGGGGGCCTGTCATTTTGCCTATCATTCACATGTATCCAAATGTCGTCTTATTGGTCTTCTGTACCAAAATTATCATCTTGATGTACTAGTGTTTCAACGTCATTAGGCCTAATATTTATCATTGACTCCGTCGAGCATCTTCTTGGTTTGTTTACATTATTTACATCTCGTTCTTGACAATCTCGATCTGATTCACATGAATCTGACTCGTATGCAGACAGTTCATCAATGTTAATATCGCTGCCACTGTCAGACGAACAATTTTCTTCATCAGAAATATGGATGATTTCAACAACATCGTCTACAGTAAACGTATTAGGGCAGGACCGGGCCGTCCGTTTATGTTATCGCTAAGTAACGGTAATATCCGGCTTCAAATTAAAACAATATAAGAGTTACCGTTCTTATAAATTAGATCATGCATTTCTTTCACCCATTAGTTGATAAAAATAGAATTCTCATACAGCCAATCGTGTACATTGTTACTTTGGCGACTTACGGTGAAACGACATTAATGTCGCTATCCCCGTAGCACACAGATAGTTTTACTGACTTTATTGATAAAAATATTTAATCTAATATCAATAATAATGCCGTAAAAAGCTGTGGTGACTCCTACACTACCATAACAATATGAAAATTGTGAAAGTTATTCAATCAAACGACATTAAGAAGGGAGGTAATTCTAAGCATAGAGTCATTAGGTAACGTCACTTCAACCATAATGAATACATCGTCTATTAGCGTAAAGCGTAACAGCACAACCTCACTCCTACAACGATGATTTCTTTCGGTGGACAATTTTATTTTCATTTCCGGTAATGAAATACTGTTAAATATTTTGGATATAAATAGGGGCAATATAAATATTTTCAAAGGAGAATTTGATAGAACCATGAACAAAATATCCATGACAAAAACAGTCGGCTCACAGGGCCGACCCGCCATTTTCAAAATAAAAAGATGTCGGCCCGTCCAGTTATTTATCGGCACCGGGCCGATGGACCAACGTAAATTTTAAACACTGGTACAAGAACTACATATATGTGAATCTAATAACTTGCCAAAGATATTAATTAACACAATTAATTTCAAGAGCAAAAATTCTACAAAAAATGTTACACTATGACCATTTAACCATCCATAAATAATACACTGAAAAATGGTTCAGAGTGTCATCCATAACATCCAGGCACTTTTGAGCAAAAGTGAGTAGGTTACTTGCCCTGGTTTTGAAATTAGTCTCGCTTAACCAGTCTCTGACCATTCTCCGTTTTATTGACAGGCCGGGATAATCAAGACTACTTTTTTATGAAACATGACAGAAAGCTGGAACATGAAACTGAATTTAGAAACATGCATGGTAGGCAACTCAACAAATGTTTTAAGAACCTTAAAAAAGTTAAATGAAACTACTGCTAGTATCATGTTCCTGTCTAACCCAAGTGTTTCAGAGATATTATTTGTACTAAACCAAAAGATGTCGCTCCTAATGGTATAGTTAATGATAAAGCAATTTAAAAAATAAAACGAACGTAATTTCTAAAGCTGCTGTAATAACCAAAAAGCTATATATTACTGCTATTCAGAATCGTCAATAATAGATTTTTTATGGCTGTAATAGTTGATATATGTGTAGAGAATTTCACGTGCGATGGCTATTTATAGTCTCATAGAGAGTGCGTGACTAGCCAAAAAATCACTTCTAGACAAGCCACTGAAGCGTGCACATTCACTGTGTCGTGTACCACTTTTAGTAGGGAAAATTTTTGGCACATGGGTCACCCTACCTAAATGTGTCATTGTTAGCTAAATTTTGCTGAGATTTGTTGATTTAATGACACAATTAAGTCAACGAATCTGCATTTGACGCAACTCTGCCATGAGTCGAATTTTGCTATTAGTTTCTGGCGTCATAGAGCTGGGCTTTGGCAGCCTCTTCAACATATTTTCTCGGACGATGGCGTTCATTTATCAAATACAGTTAGTAGTATGCTATTTATGCACAGCATCAGGGATGCATTACTGCGACTATCTGCTGGTATTTTGCGGTTAGTAATTTTTTATAATCATAATTGTGTTCTAATTCTTTGGTAATTTGTACACTTACAAACTGATTAAAACACAGATCCTATTTCGTTTTGTTTTTTTATAGTTCAAAATTTCGTTTTACTTGTCTTTATTACACTAGGATCTGGAAGAGTTGTTACCATTTACGTGTACTAGATGGTGTTAGGGATTAGCCAATGAACCGATCTGTTACGTCGAGCTTTAGGCGTGTTTTGGACGTAACTTTAGGCGTGTTTTGGACGTAACAGTGGGTAATCTATTAGAAACACCAATGCTGATTAGTTAATCAAAAGTCTGACGTCATAGGGTCAAAAGTCGCTCATATGACCTCTGACGCGACCTATCACTACAACTTGCCAGATCTTCATGTAGTGTAGGTCATCGAAAATATAACAAGCCAACAGTGAGGCTGATGTCCCCGCTGATATCCCCAAATAAAAAGATGACACATATTAATTAATCGCATATTTATTTTTTTCAAAAGTATCGAGCAATCAAACTATACACTAAGTTTCATCACTCTTTATCAGATAGAATCAAGATTATCTTATCCCAAAGCATCGACCAATGAAATTGATTAGCTTTAGCTTGAACTCGGTCAATGAACATCTACATCAAGTTTAAACATTCTACCTCAATTAAAAGCAGAGTTGTTATGTTCCAAAGTCTTGACCAATCAAATTGCTTATTGCTCCTTAGCCTAAGCAGAAAATTCCCACCAACGAACTTAGTCAAGGTAATGATATAATGAATCTATATTCAGAGTTTCATCGCTCTCACTTCATTATAACCAAAGTTATCGTGCCCCAAAGTATCAACCAATCGTATTGCTCATCTCTGCTTACCGTAAGCAGACAATGTTCGTCATCAAACTCCATCAAGGCATTCACCTAATGAATGCCTACACCAAGTTTGAACATATTATTCTACCTCAATTAGAAGGACAGTTATTGTGTTCCAATTGCTTATCACTCTGCTTACCCTCCGCAGAAAATGTTCATTATCGAACTTAGTCAAGGTATTGATGTAATAAAGCTATACACCAAGTGTCCTTACTCTCACTTAATAAGAACTAAAGCTATCGTGCCCCAAAGCATCAACCAATCAGATTGCTTATCTCTGGTTACCGTAAGCAGACAATGTTCATCGATCTTCATCAAGGCATTCACCTAATAGACACCTACACCAAGTGTAAACATTCTAACTCAATTAGAATGAGAGTTATGGTGTTCCAAAGTCTCGACCAATCAAATTGATTATCGTTTGCTTACCCTGAGCAGAACATCCTCATTATCAAACTTAGTCAAGGTATTGATGTAATGAAACTATACACCAAGTTTCATCACTCTCACTTAATTAGAAGTAAAGTTATCATGTCCCAAAGCATCAACCAATCAAATTGCTCATCTCTGCTTACCCTAAGCAGAAAAAGCTCATCATCAAACTTTCATCAAGGCATTGACCTAATAAACACCTACACCATGTTTGAACATTCTAGCTCAATAAGAAAGAGTTATTGTGTCCCAAAAAGTGTGACGAACAGACAGACGGACAGACAGAGAGACGGACGGACAAACCCATTTTAATAGAGAGAGAGAGAAATGGGGTTTAACTTCCACTCGACGCCAAGTTTGAACATTCTAGCACAATTAGAAAGAGTTATTGTGTCCCGAACAGTGTTCATTATTCCAAAGTCTCAACCAATCGAATTGCTTATTGTTCTGCTTATCCTCAGCATAAAATGTGCATTATCGAACTTAGTCAAGGTATTGATGTAATAAAGCTATACACCAAGTGTCCTCACTCTCACTTAATTAGAACTAAAGTTATCGTGTCCCAAAGCATCAGCCAATCAAATTGCTTATCTTTGCTTACCCTAAGCAGAAAATTATCACCTTTATGGTAGTGATTTTTACTGTGTCATTAGATGTTGTGTAGCACTATCGTCGTTGCGACATTGTTTTTAAATTTATAAACAAGGAATAGAGAAATAAGATGGGTTAAACAACATTTTTGATCTTAATAAATTATTCTCTATTGTCAGTATGTCGAAAAACATGTGATGGAAATTTATGATTGCATCATTTGGCTTATTTGACCAATCTCTGTAATTATTTACATTATATTTGACCAATTAGATAATTGAAGATCCAAAGCCAAAAGCTACAAAACTATCATATTTGTGAGAATTCGTTAGACAGCAGCTTGGTTCTAGAAGGGAAAAGTTTCTATTCAGCAGACTCGCCCAAATCGAGTCTGGCTGACTAGTGTTTGAGAATGACTTTAGTTAGTATTGTAATCTGTACTATGCTTGTATCCATGTATCCAGCTATGCTATATAAAATGTAAAAACGAACTGTTGCATTGTTATAACTACTGAGAAGACAAACGTCTTAAGAAAACAGGAAGAAGTAAATACACAACGTGAAGCAGAAGCAAACACAACTAGAGACAAATTCTAGACGATCACAAGGCTAATAAGATATGTAATAAGAAAAGATGCATGGGTCGTACGTTGGATGTGGCGACCTGAATCAATGGCCCGCTCTCCACATCTGACAGTAGACTCATGGTACTACAGTTGTACAAATGTTGATTTAAATTGACCAATAAGTCGTGTCTGCAATGTTGAAGACTGTGGATGATATCGAGTTAAAGATTTGCCTCCTTTAAACCAAAACAGCCCCAAAATTTGGTCAAAATTACATATTGTTGGGTACATTATCATGTCAGGACAAAGACAACATGATGAAAGTAGAGTGCATACCGTATTAACATATCTGGAGTGAAATTCTGGAGCTTCTAATAAAAATGTTAAACCTGGATGTGTTTCTACGATATCCTGAAATATATCAAATATTAGAAAATAACGACAGGATAAATCTTAAAGATAAGTTGCCAGGCAACGAAACATATGTCCACAGCAGCTAAATTGTATGAGCAGTCGACAAGGGTTGTCTCATAATTATTCTTTTGTGGGTAATGGGGTGCATTTACAAGACACTGATATCAATTTCACAGTTCAAAAAAGATAAGTTGCCAGGCGACGAAACATATGCCCACAGCAGCTAAATCGTCCAGGCGGTCGACAAGGGTTGTCACATATTTATTCCTTTGTGGGTAATTGGGGGCCTTTACAAGGTTCTACAAACTGAAACGAGGGTCTCAACTCTGGAAGTAATCTATAGAAATTGTTGACATTTGACAGGCTTTTTCGTTTTACTAACTTAAATAATGCATATAAATTTCATACAGATCAGATGATCACTTTGGTTATTCAAACATTCACAAGGTTCACAACCGCCATAACTCTAGAAATTATTGACGGAAATTACTGAAATTCAATAGTCCTCTGTTTCACAAATTTAAATGATGCATATAAATTTCATACATATCGGATGATAAGTTTCATCAATCGAGCATTAACAAGGTTGAACAAAGTGAAACAAGAGCCATAACTCTAGAAGTAATAAAGGGAAATGGCTGAAATTCAATTTAAATTTACTAATATAAATGATGCATGTAATTTTCATACAGATCGGCAGATAACTTTTGATGTTAGAGCATTCACAAGGCTCAATAAAGTGAAACAAGGGCCATAACTCTAGACGTAATAATTGGAAATTGCTGTAATTCAATAGGATTCTTTGTTTCACTAATTTAAATAATGCATATAAATTTCAGAAAGATCGGATAACTTTTGGCGTTGGAGCAATCACAACGTTCAATAAAGAGAAACAAGGGCCATAACTCTAAGACGTAATGAACAGAACTTATTGAAGTTCAATAGGCTTCTTCATTTCCCTAATTTAAATATTGCATATAAATTTCACAAAGATCGGAAGATAACTTTTGTTGTTCGAGCGTTCACAAGGTTCAACAAAGTGAAACAAAGTGAAACAAGGGCCATAACGCTAGAAGTAATTAATTGACATTGCTGAAATTCAATAGGCCTCTTCTTTTTACTAACTTAAATAATGCATATAAATTTCATACAGATCGGATGATAATTCTTGTTGTTAGAGTGTTCAAAACGGGCAACAAAGTGAAACAACTGCCATAACTTATTAACCGAAATTGTTGAAATTAAATAGGGTTCTTCATCTCACTAATGTAAACAACATATAAAAGTAGGGGATATTCAGAAACAATACAAAACTGTGGAAATGCACTGCTGTTTTTATTAGAGGTAACCAGTGTATGTTAATAACGGGCCAATTACCTACGCAGTTCATATGGGCGGCTTATCTGACGGCCCCATTTCGCTCGCAAAGAGATACACTGTCAGAAGTCAAAATGGACGTTTTTGATTTTTGTCTTAATAATGAGTAATTGCTCCAACAATCCTGAGACATACAGCAATTCTTCGTAGCATACTCCTAATCAACCGTCCAATCACGATTTGGGGCAATCCGACCCACTTCTCTTTCAGTGCCACGGCCAATTCTTTCAGTGTTGTCGGTTGATGTTGACGTCGAAGAACACGTCTCCCGATCAAATTAACCGTAACACACTAAAGCAAAGATATGCTAAACAGTAAATCTTATGCAAGAACCGATAGGAAAGCAACCATGGATAGGATAAACCAGCAAGGGGCAGTTTTCATCAACCCTTTCTTGAAGTGTCACATTTGACAATGAACCCCTCCCACGTGTATGATGCTATTGCGTGTTGCACATGCATCTCAGTGGTTCTGTTGGGGCGAAAAGTTCTTCATCTGTGAACATACTCTCAAAGCATGTCAAGTGTCCATGACTATTTATCATATCAAAACCTGCATAGGTATTTGCATTTCAATATCCCCTACATTTTTTGAAGAGTATATATAAATCTTACAACAATCAGGTGATAAATGTACTCTGTAGAGTGTGCGCAAGCAATTGTGGATGAACAGACCAATAGACGCACAGACAGGGGCGATGACAATATACGATCACATTTCCATGTGGTTAAAAACAAAGCCACAGGAATCACAAAAACATCTTTTATAGCATCTAATGTTTCATAAGAGTAAAGGTAGGTTCAAGATCAACAAAACATATGCACACCGCAGGTAAATTGTCACATATTTATTTTTTAGCAGGTAATGGGAGAATTTACAAGATAAAGATATCAATTTCATACCGATCGAATACTAACTTTTGTCTTTAGAGCATTCACAATGTTCAACAAAGTGAAACAAGGCCATAACTGTAGAAGTGTTTAACAGAAATTGCTGAAATCCAATAGGATTCTTCGTTTCACTAATCTAAATAATGCATATAAATTTAATACAGATTTGATGATAATTTTTTTGTCGTTAGAGCATTGACAAGTGTTTAATTAAAGTGCATATAAATTTAACACAGATTGGATAACTTTAGTTGTTAGCGCATTTACAAGGCCAAGGGGTTCAACAAAGTGAAACAAGGGCCATAACCAGGAATTGAAATATTTGTAAAACTTTACTTGTCACAGTTCAAATATTTTTTTACATGTCACTTGGTCACTTCTAGTTGTCACCATTGTTTTATGGGGTTTTTTTAATAAAAAATAAACTTACATGTATTGTTTTTCAATTTCATTTATAAGAGATGCTTACAATCAGACTCGGCGTTCATTTTAGCGCATTTTGGCGGAGGTAATGAAATAAATGACGGACGGTTTTCTCACATTTATTTTTTCAAAAGTATCAAGCAATCAAACTGATTATCAACTATACACTAAGTTTCATCACTCTCTTCGATTAGAATCAAAGTTATCTTGTCCCAAAGCATCGACCAATGAAATTGTTTAGCTCTGCTTAGCTTTAGCTCAAAATGTTAATCATTGAACTCAGTCAAGACATTCACCTAATGAACATCTACATCGGATTTAAACATTCTACCTAAATTAAACGCAGAGTTGCAGCACCAGCACATCACGACCTACATTTCAACGCCATACTAAACGAATATAGCATCATCTTTTGAAGAACACTTATGAACTGTAATTACTATTTTGTGTTATTGTTTATTCATCTATATATTCTTACTTGTTAATTATTCTAATCATTTTTTATTATAATCATATCACTCCACCATATTACCGCGAATTGTGCAGTATTTATTATATTAATATTAATTTTCTCTCTTTTTATTTCTGAAAATCCAAAATTACACTTATTGGCACACCTATCTCCAAAAAATAAACTATGATCAGGATTAATCCAATTCACTCATGACCAATCCTAAACGCTCTTATTACGTCACAATCATTTTACCTATAAATACGTACGCTTCGCTCCATCAAATCATTACTGAGGAAGGACACCTTTAGTCCGAAACGTTTAAAATAAATTCGCTGGTTAATCGGGTTGCCTCTCTACCTATTTCATCTTCTTCCTGAACCCCTTATGTATCGCTGAGATCCCAGTTTAGATGTCCTCCGACTACTAGCTTCCAGCTACTTTAGACCTACTTTACGAAAGTTGTTGTAGTTTTCTACCACTTTAAAAGCAGAGTTGTTATGTTTTAAAGCCTTGACCAATGAAATTGCTTATCTCCAAAAAATAAACTATGATCAGGATTAATCCAATTCACTCATGACCAATCCTAAACGCTCTTATTACGTCACAATCATTTTACCTATAAATACCGTACGCTTCGCTCCATCAAATCATTACTGAGGAAGGACACCTTTAGTCCGAAACGTTTAAAATAAATTCGCTGGTTAATCGGGTTGCCTCTCTACCTATTTCATCTTCTTCCTGAACCCCTTATGTATCGCTGAGATCCCAGTTTAGATGTCCTCCGACTACTAGCTTCCAGCTACTTTAGACCTACTTTACGAAAGTTGTTGTAGTTTTCTACCACTTTAAAAGCAGAGTTGTTATGTTTTAAAGCCTTGACCAATGAAATTGCTTATCGCTCCTTAGTCTAAGCAGAAAATTCTCATCTTCGAACTTAGTCAAGGTAATGATATAATGAATCCATACTCGGCATTTCATCACTCTCACTTAATTAAAACTAAAGCTATCATGTCCCAAAGCATCAACCAATCAGATTGCTTATCTCTGGTTACCGTAAGCAGACAATGTTCATCGTACTCCATCAAGGCATTCAGCTAATGAACGTCTCTACCAAGTTTGAACATTCTAGCTCAATTAGAAGGAGAGTTATTGTGTTCAAAAGTCTCGGCCAATCAAATTGTTTATCGCTCTGCTTACCCTCAGCAGAAAATGTTCATCATCGAACTTAGTCAAAGTATTGATGTAATGAAACTATACACCAAGTTTCATCACACTCACTTAATGAGAACTAAAGTTATCGTATCCCAAAGCATCAACTAATCAAATTGCTTATCTCTGCTTACCCTAAGCAGAAAATACTCATCCTCGGAATCCATCAAGGCATTGACCTAATAAACACCTACATCAAGTTTGAACACTCTAGCTCAATTAGAAGAGTTATTGTGTTCCAAAGTCTCAGCCAATCAAATTGCTTATCGCTCTGCTTACCCTGAGCAGAAAATGCTCATTATCGAACTTAGTCAAGGTATTGATGTAATGAAACTAAACACCAAGTTTCATTACTCTCACTTAATAAAAACTAAAGTTATTGTGTCCCAAAGCATCAACCAATCAAATTGCTTATCTCTGCTTACCCTAAGCAGAAAATGCAGATCTTCGAACTCCATCAAGGCATTGACCTAATAAACACCTATACCAAGTTTGAACATTCCAGCTCAATTAGAAAGAGTTATTGTGTTATTGTGTCTTCAAAAGGTGGGGAACAATAATGATATCTAATTAGTCATGCTACAAAAAACAGAATTCAACTATCAAAATATTCAATTCTCTTCATAAAGAATTGTCAGCCATTT